CTTCCCAACTAACTTTTTCACCAGCATCTGCAAAAAAACCCAGAGTTTCTCACGATGAACATTTCTTGCCCGTTATGCCCTGGAGATATACGAATTCAACACGCTCGCATGGTCAAACCGGTGGGACAGGTCTCAACTGCATTGCAAGATGTACCCGAGTCAAACCGCAATAGACGGTATTCTATAGCAGACTCTGCTTCCAGAGATACGACATCGCAGTCAAGTTCAACCAGTCACACTACCAGCTTAGACCCTGGTGAATTCTCCAGAAGCCCTGTTTCGCCCATAACACGCACCCTCGGCTTCTCCGATCTTATGACAAAGCATTCGAACACCTCCGTCACGGAGCTGATTAGTCCACTTTCATCACGTGCCTCTTCTGATCAATTACGCGAAAAACAGGGCACTAGGAGTCTTTCCAGGGAGCTCAAGAGCGTGAAGATACCTTTCCCAAGCGGGGCGTCTCTATTCAGAAAAGCCTCCACTAAGCAGAAGTTACCGCGGCAGCCAAAGTCCTGCTTTTCCGCGACAGGACGAACTCTGCTTCTATGGGGAACGGGTAGCAGCTGGGTCATGCGGTTTGAAATTTCGACTGTGGAAGGGCAGAGGAGCAAGGGTCACAGATACGACGTGTCTGGGGTCCAGTATGTTGCAGCGGGTGACAAACGTTGCGCTGTGATCGCCGCGGTTGGAGAGGTATTTATGTCTCAATTCTGCTGAGCCTGTTGAGCCTGTGACTCTTTTTCGGCTTGCTGACATGTTTCTAGCATCTTGAGCTGCTAATATTCGACAGCACTGGCACCATCGCTGATGCGTACCTGACGATTGAAACTGGACTCCAAAATCAGTCCATACCACCTATATGTATGACCATGTCGCGGAACGACAGATTTGTCGCCTTCACTATCAGGGAAGAGGTCCGAGTGTATGAGATCGGTGCAGGAGCGATACGAAGAGTTCCATTGGGCGAGCACTTGGATCAATACCCGTTGCTTGGCGAAGAGCCACCATCCGGAGCGGTAACTCCTTCAAGGGATGGACAATACGCCAACAGCCAACCCAGACCGAAGGCGATTATTGAGCGAAGGATTCAATTCTCCGTCGACGAAAAGCATCTTGTTGTAGCCACGCACCTGGGCGATCATTGCGCTTATGTAGATGTCTGGGGCTGGAATGCTGGACAATGGATAATCACGCCTGACAAGTCAAGGTCGTTCAAACTTCCATCAGTAAGTGATACTGTGATATCACTTGAGCGACTGTCAAGGCTTGGTGCTAACTTCTAAAGTGGACGGCAAATGATGGAGACCTCACGTGTGTTTTCTACGACAGCTTCCATTTCGCTGTCATAATGACAGCCTTCTTGGGAAGAGAATCTCCGATGCTAGTTTCTCTTGCTGACCCGAACATCGTCAGCGATCCCCTCAGCATCAGGATCGTTCATGCAGCACAATCGCCTTCAGGGACACGGTTCGTCATGGCAAATGGTGCTGGTGAGATGTATATGTGCGAATGCAAAGCCAATACTCTTCTCACGCCGTATCAACTAAAGAAAGCTTCGGCCAAGATAAGCCTCGCTGCTTTCAAACCTGGGAATCTGACACTGTCCTTCCCACAGGAGAATGAGATCCTTGCCTTTTGGGCCAAGGATGGTAAATTATCACTCAGAGCAATCAGATACAGTGAGGGCGCTGAGATAATCAATGACTTTGACCTGCGCCTGGACTTTGACCGTCTAGTTGTGGAACGGGTCCCAGCGGGGAATTTTTCAACACAGCGAAGACAGAACTCATCACTTTCAAATCAGTCAGTTGCGGAGATGGAGGCAATTACGTCTGTCCAAAGACCTGACATGGCGGAACTGCCAGCGATATAACAGTATGTAGGTTGGGCGATACAGTCAACGCAATGTGGTGGCAGTCTGGAATTTAGTGCGTGATTTTATAGGAACATATGTTGCTCTGACAGAGATGTCGCGGAAGTTGGCTCTCCAAATTATCAGAAACAGTGCTCTTGTAATTAGCTGCTGATAGAGCCATCAAAAGAATTCTGCTGTATGTGCAGAGAAGAAGATGTTGACCGTCGCTCAAAGAGGAAAGTGAGGTGTGCCACAGGAACAGCAGACTATACCATAAATGGCTAGAAAGGGGAGGGTCTTGTCTTGCCCGGAATGCGAAATTCTCCGAATGCCGAGGATCGCTGGTGATGATCGACGTCACCACTAGCGTGCATATGATGAGCTGTGGAGGGTTGCGAGTTGTTGGGATGTTTCTGGACGACAGAGAACTCAACACTTGATGTCTGGGAGTTCAGAGATGCAACTCCAGCTTGCCATTCTAGGTGAGTAAATACATGTTAGAAAGACATGTCTGCGGGTCTGGCCATCGGGTGATCAGCTTAGCATCAGACAATAGATCAGAGCATGCGACACTCAATTGCCCCTCCCACTTCATTGGTGTAAATGGGCCCTTGGACTGATACTGGACTTGTCCTTATTTCTTAGACATATAGGCAGTCATATTGCGGTCTCATGTCCTGTCCACCACTTTCTTAACGGCCAAATCCTACCTGGAGCATTTATTGCTGAGTCGGGTGCACGTAAACTGGCTTGACGTTGGAATCTCAAGGTCGACGTCATCACTACATCCCCGGCACTCGCAAACGACCTTTAGATTCCCGAGAAGCCGACGACGCATAATATCTTCTCCACATCTCTCTTGCTCTCAATTGTTTTGACCACTCTATCAACAATGTCGCAGCCCGCCTTCGAGTTCGATCAATCGCGCCGGCCATCGCAGGCGGAGAATCAGACCGTACTGAAATCCGAGATCCCGCTGAAGGAACGATTCTTCCGTTACTTCCAACATGAGATTACCGGTATGTCTCTGTTGTATTGTCTTTTTGTGTTTGTTACTAGGATAATCTGACGTCGAAGTACTGCCCTGTAGCCCTTCAAGAAGAGATGGACCGTCTGGCAAACACGTCTCTCATAGGAGGGGAACGGACGGATGCAACCGATCATTGCCTGGCTGGAATTGCAAGATTGTCCAATGAGGTTAAGGATGCAGCCAGCTATATCCCAACCTATGATCAACGTGTTTATGCAGAAGTAGGTCAATGACCGTCATAGCCTGAGTGTGTACCTCGTTGATCGTGTTGTCTTGTCAGGCCATCAAAGCACTTCAGGACAAGCTCGCCGAAACGCGCGCTGCTGTCGAGCCACGCCCCAAATTTACTTTCAAAACCAAGAAGAATGCATCCGCTGTCTCGCTATCAGATGCGGCCGAACTAGTTGTCCAAGGCCAGGGGGGCCTACCCGGCTATCGCTCCCCAGGGACATCTTCGGTCAATTCCTCTGCGGGCCAAACGCCCAATTACCCGTCTACACCTTTGTACGAACCAGATATCCTTCAGTTACAGCGGCCAGAAGTCGCACCGACGTCGGTTCCAGCCTTTTCCTCGGGTATTAGTGAAACCGAATCGAAATCCAAAGAAGATTCCCAGAAGGGTAACGCCTTCGCGGCCACGGCTGTGTCGTCTGTCTCCGTAAACGATCATGATGGTCTCCATATCATGCTTCCTGCATCAGGCTCGACAGCGGCTGTACCTGCATCCATTACATCTTTGCACCATTGCGTCGTTGATATGTCCATACCGACTGCAAACGGCAAGCCATATGCCAGTCTCACTGTCAAGGGAGTCAGCGAGAGCTTGTTGATCTGTGGCCAAATTGATGGGCCAGCCCATATAACCGGTGTTGAAAATAGCGTCATTGTGGTGTCGTGTCGCCAATTCCGCATGCACAACTGTACTGATGTGGACGTGTACCTGAGCAGCTCCAGCAATCCAATCATTGAAGATTGCACCAACATTCGGTTTGGCAGAATACCCAGAGCATATGTAAGTATTCGTTTTCTGCTAATGACCATTTTAATGCGAATGCTCATGTTCCCAGGCACTGGACCACGACCGTCGGGATAACGAAGACCGCTGGAGCCAAGTTGAGGACTTTAAATGGATCAAGCCAGAACCAAGCCCGAACTGGAGCTTGCTAGGTTCCGATGAGTCGATTCCAGAAGAAGTGTGGGCTGAGATTGTGCCTGGTGGCCCTGGATGGTCACTCGACGACATACTACGCGCGATCAAGATTGTGAAAGATTAACTCCATTTTCCACTACGCTACACAGTTAATTATGCTATGCAAAGCATTTCCTGGAGAGAACTAGCCATCTTTCAATGGTTCCTCGGCCATACTGCACTTCGAAGCGATGCCTTGAGTCCTTCGTGGTTATTAATGGCTATGGTGCTTCAAGTCTTTCAGATACTTGCGCAATGGAGAGTAGGCGTTATTTACTTTGGGTAGTATACTTCGTTGTCACTCGCAGTTACCAATCCGATTTGGATGTATCATCCTATGCAAGTCTTGCTAAATGCCCTCTGTTTGTTTCACAAATTAGCACCATCCTGAGGCATAACCATAGCGTATAGCATGCTGATGATGCTTTTCCAAAAAAGGTGACGCTTAGAATATACCTTACCACTTTGCTGGGTGGAATCTAGGCGTACGATTTACTTTAGAGCCAGTCATGTAAAATGGCTATTCCTACACAGCTATTATTCCATACTAATCTGTGACCTCGATAGAGAATGGCATATTTGGGCCTGATTATCAAGGCATTCAATATGTCGTTTATATGTCTGTCAGCCAATCAGCGCTGGCAGTTGAAGTGGAAATTCGATACTATCCATAAGAGTGGAGCTTCGCTCCGCAATTTAAGTTGATTATTATCAACAACTGGTTGAAGCTCTCGGTTATCCCACTACCTCAATTATGTCATGATCAATCTCCAAGGGTTCTAATCAACACTTATTTCGCTCATTTCTGCCTGGAATTCTATATATTGTGGCTTGAAGATTGGTATCGATGTCTTTTATGTTGGACATGAGAAGGGACACTCTCAATCCGAGACATTCTCATCCTAGGCTCGGTTTAATTCAGAATGCCCGCCAACGAACAAAGAAGTCCGGAGAGTGATAAACAATTCAGTCATTCAGGCTCGACTGCCAAACCAGGCAGCTCCGCAGCTTCGGAAGATGTGTATGTTGAGGATGTTTCTTCTCGCGACTCTGGATACGACGGCGATATTGAGGTGGTGAAACCGTACTCTATTGAGGAACCGGAGGATGATGAAGCTCCTAGGCTCGTCCCTAGACTTGCCATTTCAGCCGCTTCAAATGGCGCCGAATCGTGGCAAGAGGAATTGGTGGATTCAATGCAAGATCTGCACTGCGACTCGGATCATCCTGACTTGCGGCACCGTTCGAGCCACAAGAGAGGCAGAAAGAGGAAAACACCCACCTTCGCAGCTGGAGATTCGGGGTCTGGTCGGCGACAGCTCTATGAGGCAGTTCACGATATCCAGTACGAAGGACCTAGTGCGAGCCCGAAGAGATTACGTCGACGAAGCAAATGCTCGAAAGAAGGGATAAGAACTACTCTCTCACCACGCAGCTCGAGTGAAACCGATTCGCCTACGAGCCTTAGTCTGAGTCCTCAATCCACGGATGCAAGCGGGAGAAGCCCGAGCAATAAACCTAACGTCACCGATGAAATGGACATAGATTGATATGCACATAGGAAGCATACTATCCCTTCAAATTCCTTCATTCAATCTTCCGGGAGTCACGTGATGACGTACCGTGCCAGTCGCACGCTAGTCCGAAAGAGGTCGAGAGACATTCTATGACGTCAGGCAGTTCTCATTGCGGCCACTGACTCCGACTGGGGTGGACTGATGTCGTTGCCGCTTCTCACCTCTGCTCTGCTTGTCGTGTGCTGCTATCGCTCGCAAATCTGTCGCATCAATCGTGACATCTCAAATACGCGCAATTGGCCCGATTATCCACCCCGAGCGAACACAATCCTCCCACAATGGCGACTAGAACATCGTCGCGCCAGGCCGCCCAGAAAGCGAAGGAGGCCATCACAAGCACCAGTGATATCAAGCCAAAGAGGACTGCCGGTGCAAAGCGCAAAGATACCACCGAAAAAGGACCGGAACCAAAGAGGGGAAAGAAAGTCGATCGCGAGCCCGAGCATGAGAAACAAGAGAAGGAACAGGAGCAGGAGCAGCGAAAGCACGAAGAGGAGCACCGGCCAGAAATGAAAGAGCAGGTGAAAGAGGAAGCAGTCCCTGGGCCCGGTGAAAAGGACGAGAAAGAGGAACAGGAAAAAGCCATAAGACGTATGACCATATTTGAGAATATTTTTCACGCCGCGTCAACGCTAACAGCGACTAGAGCTCAGTGAACAGCCTGAAGAGCAAGCAGAGAAGCCAGAACAAGAGCCCAAAGAAGCTCACGAAGACGAGAAAGAGAGTCAAGAGAAAGGCACCAAAGGTAATAAAATCTGCGGAGAGTTCTGGTTCTGGCAAACACTAACAGAAACTACCTTGCAGAACCAGAAGAAAAGCCAGCTGAAGCGCCGGCAAAGGAAGAAGTTGAGGCCGGAGTCAGGAAGTCACAAGAACGAGAAGACATTGTACCTTCCAACATACTCGAAAAGGGAATCATATACTTCTTCTTCCGCCCTCGAGTCAATGTTGAGGAGCCACACAGTGTGAAGGATGTTGCCCGAAGTTTCTTTGTTTTACGTCCGACTCCTCTGGGTGCAGTGCTGGATGCCGAACAAGGCACTCTTGAAGCCGACGCACGCTGTCGCTTGATGATTCTGCCAAAGAAGAAGTTTCCCACTTCTGGTAGAGAGAGGGACATGGGATTCGTGGAGAAAGCCGGAATATCTATGAAAGAACTCCATGATAGCTTTATGGTGGGAGGGAAATATGAAACATCGACTCGAGGAGAACGCACCGTTGAAGAAGCGCGACCATATGCGGAAGGAGTCTACGCCATAACCTCTGGAAAGCGGGCTTCTCACCTGGCCTACATTCTGACTATTCCGCACGAATTGAGCTCAATTCAAGAAGACTTTGGCCTTTATGGCCGAGGCAGTTGGATTGTCCAGTCGAAGAACCCCAAATATCCTGGTCCGTCCTACGCACAGCTTCCCAAAGACCCTGAGTATCCTGAAAGGTGAGTCAATGATCGTGCCATAGTGGCATAGAAACTAACTGCTTCATCGCAGCGTCCGCCAAAAGTTCGGAGACTATCGATGGGTCCCCTTGGAGCCTGAATTCATCGACTATCCCAACGCGCAGTTCCTCATGATCGGGGAGGCCACAGACGACCTGGGAAAGGCAGCCACAGCAGAACCTGGTGGTAAGGAGGCACACGAAGAACAGCCAGGCGAGGAGTTGGAAAAGCTGGAACATGAAAACGAGGAGAGGATCGAAGCTCTAAAAGGTTAGTTCTCCAATGCTCTGCTTCGCTAAGTTGCTGACCCGCACCCAGGCGACGAAACCGTCTATGAAGACCTAGGATTGGATGCGAAGAACTATCCGAAGGTGCCAACAACCTGGAACAAATAGCCAGGTAGAACCCAGCCACTGGTGTACAATAGGCGCTTCGAGATGAAGCTTCGGATTATGATTCCGGGCATAACAGACAAGAAACATTCAATTTGAGGAATGCTGAACTTTGAGTCAATTCCCCAGATGATGAGTGTCCATAGTTGAATCGAATAATTGAAAATACTTTGCGTGAGATAGTAGTTTCGCATCCAGTGGTGGCTGATGGATGCAGGTGGACCTCTTCTATGTCAGCATAAGATGGAGGGGAATCCAATCCAGAAATTCCTTGAATCGTTCCCGCATTTTTACCCCTGGTACTTACTCGGTTCCTTAAAGGAGTATTATCTAGCTAATGCATGGTGGTATGATGGTATCTGTTATTATTCTCGAGCGGGTCGGGCTTCAGCGCAGCCAAGATGGTTGGCTTTGTATTAGAGAGCGAATGGGATTGACGATCTTCACCACGTTCAACCGCTTGCTGCCAGGATCTCGATCTCCCCACGAGTCATTTACCTGCTAACACCACGGGGAGCGGATTTCTAGAAGCTAGATACTGCTAGGCGATTCCTTCAGGATTGTTTATGCGATAGAGATACATACTGCAAGACACCTTCCTCAGCGTCTGCTCTGATTGGGACGCTCAGCACGTGCCAAGGTCAACCATGAGGTGTATAAAATCGCCTGCTTTCTCCTCCTCAGTCGAGGAAATCAGGAGCTTATCCAAGTTGCAGACGACATCATGAGATTGAATCCATTGGTGAGTGTGCTGCCATTGACAGCCGCAGCCACAGCTGGCGCTCTCACTCGGCACAACTCGTGCAGTGTCGTGAATCAGACAACCTGTGGCGGCACAAGCTACGAGTATACCGGGCTAGTGGGATACGGATTCATCCCGTCCAACGCGGTTGATAAGTATGGTGATACGTTAGGGGGCATTGGCAGCTCTATCGCTATCGATCAAGACTCCTGGCGCAAGACGGGCCGTGACTCGTACTCTGGCATCATTTACTGCTTGCCTGATCGTGGCTGGTAAGTTAGGCTTATAGCATGGCCATAGAAACCTTGAATTGGAGGCTGATATGCTTCGGTTTCAGGAACACCAACGGAACGCTCAATTTCCAGTCGCGTATCCACAAGCTGGCCATCTTCTTCAAGCTGGCACCAGATGCATCTGCTGAGAATCCATCGAAGCCAAATCTGCAGCTGAAGTACCTCGACACTATTCTTCTGACCGGTCCCGATGGCGAGCCCACCACAGGTCTTGATGCAGACGCCACAGGCTATGCCTCATACCGCGGCTTCCCACCTCTCCCCGCAGCCACATACATCGGTGATGGCTTTGGCGGCGCGGGCAAGGGAGGAAAGAGGGTCACAATCGATGCCGAGGGTCTCGTCCTTGACAAGGACGGCTTCTTCTGGGTCTCTGACGAGTACGGTCCCTACGTCTACAAATTCAACAAGCACGGCAGGATGGTGCTAGCCCTGCAACCGCCGCAGGCCTATCTCCCCCGTCGCAACGGCACCATCAGCTTCAGCGCCGCCAGTCCGCCCCTCTATGCCCCCAACCAAATGCCCGTCCCCGAGGACCCCAAGACAGGCCGAAACAATAACCAGGGCCTCGAAGCCCTTACTATCTCCCCGGACGGCAAGACGCTGTACACCATGATCCAGTCGGCGCTGAACCAGGAAGGCGGCCCGAAGAAGAAGAACCGCCAGCCCGCGCGGCTGCTGGAGTACGACATCTCCTCGGGCACACCGGAATACAAGCACGAGTATGCCGTTCTCTTAGCCAAGTACAATGATTACACGGAAGAGGATCCATCGGACGCGGCAAAGGTGGCCTCGCAGTCGGAGATCCACCAGCTTCCCACCGGCGACTTTCTTGTTCTCGCGCGCGATTCCGGCTTCGGACACGGGCAGTCCGAGTCCCTCTCCGTCTACCGGCATGCGGACGTTGTCTCCATTTCCAAGTCTACGACTGATCTGAAGGGTACTTATGACGCCGCGGACGGATCCATCGCCAGCTCGAAGGGTGTCTTGGACTCGGGCATCACCCCGGCGGAGTACTGCCCCTTCCTGGACTTCAATGTCAATTCGGAACTGGCCAAATTCGGCCTTCACAACGGTGGCGCGCAGGACGCTGGTCTTTTGAATGAGAAGTGGGAGGGCCTGGCCCTTGTGCCGGTTGACCCGCAAGGTCACAAGGATAAACATTCCAAGAAGGCGAGGGAGTATTTCCTTTTCAGCTTCAGTGATAATGACTTTATCACGCAGGATGGTAGGTTTCTTGACCTGTTTCTCGTCCTTGAACCCAAAGACACTGACTATATTGCCTTCGCTCGTACAGGACGCATGAATTTTGGCCGGTTCAAGTACGCGGATGAATCTGGCTACAACCTCGACAACCAGGCTCTGGTTTTCAGAGTGAGGTTTTAGCTGTGTATCTGCTTCCTATAGAAATAGTAATGAGAATAGTATCCAGACTGTTTTAATATTGATGGAAGGATTCGTGCTTGATACAGACACCAAAATCAAACATGTTTCTACGATTGAAACAGTCAACAGGTGTTGGCACCCACCCCTCCTACAGGTTGAAGAAGTAGGTAGCTGGTAGAGCTTTAAACATGCACATCTGCTTTCTGCATGAGAAAGCGCCCAGATATCGGTAGAACAGATATTTCAAGGCAAACGCTCAACCTCAGGGGGTCCAGCATACATGATGTGCCATAAAGGAGTCAAGAGAAACAAATAGAGTCTGGGATACACCTTCACCACCAAGACTTTCTTCCACCCAACGGTCTCATCAAGTCCTTCTCTCATCCTGACGAAGTCTCCTTTCTTCCATCTGGTCATACCAGCTCATACTTAACACAATAATATGCACAGTGGAAGTGCGACAATCGGCAGCCCTCCATTCACTCAGTGCCGTCCCCTCCAGAACTGAGTCCAGCGCTTCCGGGTGATAATCCCCATACAGAGATCTCATGAGCTCACGATGGCGTCTGGTGGTTGCGTCATGATCTACTCTAACAGCACTGGAGCTTTCCTGCATAATAATTTATGTGACTGTCCGTCATATGTGTATTTATATCCTTTTTGATTAGCCACATGTAAAAGTATACTTGCCCAATTCAGTTGCACATAACCAGCACAGTACATACAACTCATTAATAGGGGATGCTGAAGTGATATAGATAGACATCATTATTATCATTACTTCACTCAGACCCATCAATCGGTCTCCTCCCCGTCGCTTTCTAAGAAGGCCAGAGTCTGTCGACCCCGATTGAGTCTCCGTCGAGGTCGATTGCTGTCACTTTCCTCCTCCACGCTTCCCCGGCCCCACTGCTTTTCACCCTCTTTGATCATGGCGAGGTCGGCTTCAAACTCTCGTTTCTCTTTGATTTGTTTGGCCTTCTCTATTGAGTAGCGCCCGTCCATTCCCGCATCCTTCAACATGTCCTTGAGATGCTTGATCTTCGCTTTTGGTGTATCATACGGAGCCAGCTCTCGAGACCACACCTTGCGAATACCACATTTGACAAGCCATCCTTGCAATCGCTTGATTTCGGCTTCATTGGGATCAAGACCAGCGTCCTGTGCCTTGGCGGAGGCCTTCTTTTTTCCTTTTTGCGACGTGCTCTCTGCGCTTTTCCCTCGTTTGCGGCTGGGTTTAGGTTCCTCATCTAGGACGACTGACATTTCACTCTCCGAATCGACCTTCTCAGCATCGGTGGCTTCTTTCGTTGCATCAGACTCGGCTGATGCGCGTTCTGATCTTGTTTTTGACTGTCTCCCGGTAGGTTTCTTGACCTCGTCCTCGCTGTCGCTGAGCGCACCGGTGTCCTCGTCATCTGCGACTTTGGGCTCCGGAGATTCTGTCTTTCTGCGTTTTCTTGACTTTGAGGTAATTGTAGATTTTGTGCGTTTGGTAGGTTTCGCGGTCTTCGGGGGAGGCGAGGGAATATCTTGTTCGTCTTCTTCTACTTCTTCATCTTCTTCCTGTGCTGGTTCTTGTGCGAGCCTATCTTGCACCTCCTACAGAGTATAAGTCTCTTGCATGAGCATTGGTCCTCCAGGACAGTCAGGTAGGATAACATGACATACCACTTCGTCCTTGATAACCTGTTCACTTTTCAATTTCCACACATCATCTGCCTTGAAGAACCCTTCCTCTAACCCAAGTGCTCTCTCCGCCGCCAATCGCACTCTCTTGACAGTCAATTCCTCCATTTTCCCTGACTGGTAGATCTTGGCGACCGCGTCGCGTAGGGCTTTTTCGAGAGCTTCATCGGAGGGTATTGAAGGTGCCGCTGATTGATTTGAGTCGGAATCGTCTTCAGAGTCTAACACGGCGTATCGAGGTGCCATGCTGTTTGCCTTTCCTGGGTTCCTTTCAAAGTTGGTTCTGAATGAGTTCGTCACAACTTTCTGGGACAGAGGATAGCGAATTCGACGCGACTATGAAAATAAGTCGCGAGCGCGAACCAGTACGGATGTATAAGGATGACTGCTAAGAAACCAGATGAATTGAATGGTGTTGAAAGCTTTGAGCGCAACTAAACATCAATAATCATCTATTCGCAGCACTAGTGCAAATACGTCAGAGTATCTTGCCGGATGTTATCGTCGCGCCGAGCTCTATTTAGATTAGACTATCGGCGCTACAGTGCTGACAAAGCCGATATAGAAATCCCCGAGCTTCCATCCAAAAGCTGCCAACCCAACTGCTTTCTATCTTTGCTTCTTGCCTTTGCTTTAACACTAATCTGCAGGTACCCCGCTTCTTCTCCGGGAGGATTTACTTACTGTCCATAGTTTCGTTCGCAGGCTGTCCTGGAAAGTACCATCTCCATCGAGGTATCCATTTGCTCCTCCGCCATCCTCCGCATTCTCCAGCGCAGCGCCGAGACCATATCATGTATCCCACCTAAACCGAATTAGACAGCAGTATACGACTATCACCATGTCAGAATCTCGCCCAGATCGACCAGAGACACAGCCGAGACTCCCCAAGACGCTCTTCCCCCACCAACCCCCCGCCGCCGCAAGTTCCTCCACATCGCCAAAAGATGGCGATGTACCCGCAGGCATGACCAAACTGCCCAACGGGGTGATACTAGACAAGGATGGGAAACCGTACGTTGCCTCCCTTTTTTACCTCCACTCCCTACGGCTACCTCAAAGCCAACCCGCGCCAGGAAATCTAACAACCCAAACAGATGCCGTCTCTGCACCTCCGCCGCATCCTGGCGCGCATTGACAAAGCAAGCCAAAAGCCAAACCGCAGCTGGAACCGCCCCAGCAACTGCCACACCAACACACCCCTCCAACGCCTCCATACCCGCCCCTGCCCCTTCACCAATGCAAACAGAATGCCCCCCAGACGTCGAGGAACTGGGCCGCTCAACCTGGACGTTCTTGCACTCCCTGACGGCCGCATACCCCGCCAAGGCCTCGCCAGAGCAGCAGACTGAGATGCGGACGTTCCTGAAGCTTTTCTCCCGGTTGTATCCCTGCTGGGTGTGTGCGGAGGACTTCCGGACGTGGATGGCGGAGCCCAGTGGTCGTAATGCGCCGCGGTTATCGGGACGATCGGATTTCGGGACGTGGATGTGCGAGGCACACAATGAGGTGAACCGGAAGCTGGGGAAGAAGGAATTTGACTGCCGGTTCTGGGAGGAGAGGTGGAGGACTGGTTGGAAGGATGGGAGATGCGACTGATCAATAGATGGATATATTTTCTTGACTGTATATTTGGCACATTGAACTTATAGACGACTCGACTAGCAGAAAGATATCTCTACTCAACATTCGAGCAAGGAAAGACCGGCTCGTTTGAGCAAACAGACACACTTTCCTCTATCAACATCATCCCAATCAGTTAAGTCTGTATCATCTCGATTTGAAGATATCGCAAAGTTGAGATACAATAATAGAAAGTCGCTGGTTGAAAAAGGCACAACAGAACCACACATCTAGAATGCAGACGTCCTCGTTCCCTGACGTCCCCTGACGTCCCCGCCACAAACGTCTTCCCGATTATGGAGAATATATTTTATGGGTTCAAATCATCAAAAGCAGGAAGATAATACAATTGCGAAAGCCCATCAATACACTATCTCTACTGCTGACCGGGAACGAACAGACGTAGCCCGCTAGCCGGTGCTCCAATCTCGGTCACTTCAGATATCCGACACACGGTACCCTTGTATTGTTCATGATACTTGGCACCGGTGAAAGGATCCGACACGCTAGGAGAACCGCCGTAGATAGGAGTGAAGGAGGCGGCGCAGATGTCAAATTCGGCGAATTGGTCGAACTCGATATCGATCTTGTCCTGCGGGCTACGCTCGCACTGTGCCTTGATTTTCCTGGCCTAGAGATTGGGTTAGTATTGTATAGCACACATCGATGCAAGAACCAGAATGGCTTACCTGATCAAGAAGCTTAGCCGAGCCCCCGTTGGCCAACATACGGTTGGCAAAGCTCAGGGCAGACGAGTAGTTCTTGTTGGCAAAGGCAAACTTCATTGCGGCCATCAGTGCAAGCTGACGATGAGCGACCTCCAGCTTGGGGATGGTAAAGTAGGCAGAAAGCTCGAGACTCCTCTTGAGGTTCTCCGGGGTATCCGTTGATAGGGAACGGCGCTCAAGTTCGATAGACATGGCAAGAATGTATTCCCGAGCGGTTTCGATGATCTTCTTCGCCTGCTCGACCTCGGCTTCGGAAGACACGGTGTTGACAAGAACAGAATGCAAGATTTCCTTGAAAATCTTCACACCATCCTCCAGTTTGTTCGCCCTCATTGCAGCGTAACCCTCCTGGAGGTCGACGTTGGCAATCGTCTCTAGATCCTTGGGAATGATGGGCAGGACTTTGCGGCTGTCAGTCTCCTCAACAGTACGTCGTACATAATTGACCAAAGGAGGAAGCCCGGCGGTAGCAGGCAGGTAAGTCTTGGACGCCTTATATACTTCGAGGAAACGACCTTTGAGAGGAGAGAAGTTGACGGCACCAACTTGGCGATTGAGCAGCTGCATGGCGGTATCGAAAGAGCCAGCAGCGACGTGATCAGCCGCCAGGGGAGAGTTGCGAGCCCAAAGGTCGGCCTCAGAGCTGCCTGCGCCGGCCTCTGCACTGTCGACGTTAACGAAGTCGACATCTTCCTCCACGTTTATCTCTTCACCCATGTCCCAGCCGGCAACATCTTCCTCTTCATCCTCGAGAGTCTCACGGGCGAGAACAGCCTCCTCGCCTTCTTCCTCGGGCTCGAAGCCAAGGGCGGCGGCCTCCTCGTCTTCCATACCCACTTCTCCAAGCAAAGCCTTCTCAAAGGACGAATGGGCTGCAGCCTTAACGGGCCAATTCGACTTGAAAGTAGGGGCAATGGGTTGAGGCACCCGCAGAGGTTCCTCGGTTGTGGGAAGTGTGATCTGGTCTTCGGTCAACCCGCAGGCTTCGAGAATGGATTCAGCCTCTTCAGTCAAACCGTGAGACTTGGCGGTAAGATAGGCCAGAGGGTCTTCTTTAGAGTTAGTTGAGTATAGTCGAGTTGATCACAAAGGCACTTACACAGATCGACATCCTTGAACATCTGAATTCTGTCTTCAACATCACCACGGTAGATAGCATTCTGAAACCGAGATATGAAGTCCCCGCGATGCTCTGCGATCTTGGCCATCCTGGACAGTTTTTCAGAATCACCAGTGGACAAGTAAAGGAATGAAAGCTTGTCAAAATTTCTTTGCTTCTGGTACGTCATCTCCACAGTCTGGTGGTTGCCGTGAGCCAGAGCTTCCGTTCCGAGTCTGCTCCACAGCTTCGGGCGGTCCAGCTCGCGTGCCATCTCAATGGCAACTTCCAGGTTACCACACTCGAGAGCAAGCTCAAAACGAGTCTGAGGGTCCTGTACGAACTGCAGGGCGATCTCAGGGTAGCCCTTCTTTTGCAGATACGAAATGATACTTTGCCCAACCAAGCTGGAAGTCTTGATAATCTGCAGCATCTCGTCGTAGTTGCGCTTAATCAGGGCGAGCTTGAAGCGGTATTCGGTAGGATCGATTTCGAGAACTCTGGGCTTGGCATTGCGATCCAGACAGTAGACGCTTCTGCCCTTCACCTTGACGAGGTACACAGTGTGGTCCAAAGTGCGGATTATACCGTTGTCCCTACAAATTTGTTAGCGTCAGCACATGCTAGTCAAGGGGGAAATCTGTGCACATACCCATTTAGGAGAGAGTATTTGACGTGATTCAAGGTCGAGTAAAGAAGGACGCCTGCGTCATCCCACGCGGCGCTCTTGATACGAATGGTCTCGTGCAGGCTGCTCACTTGCTCGAGAGTCTTGGTAACAATGGTAACATTATGCTTGCTGAGCAAAGCAGCATAGAGTCCATCATTGGACCAAACAACGTACTTGACGCCGCTCACTGCAAGCTCTGCCAGCTGCTTCTTCTGTTGGATATCAAAGAGAACCACGGAGGTGGGTGTAATGAAGAGTAAAGCTCCAGTTCCACCAAAGTAAATATCAGTTGTTCCAGCAGGTGGCTTAATAGTTTTTGTGGTAGAGTTGCTCAAATCCTTGATGTCCACCTGCTGATTGGCCTGGCTGAAGACAGCGAATCGATTACGGGCAACGAAGACGGCGGAAGAAGCCTGGCCGCGCTTGACGTCTGTCGGCTCGATAGCGCCAGTTGCATCCCTCGGAAGGTGGATCAGCTCGTACGTACCACCATCAGTGGGAGACGTGACGAGAATGGCGCGCTCAGCAGGATTGTAAGAAAGAGTTCTTGGCGGCACCCAGGGCGATCCCAACTTGCGTAGTGAAAGCATCGGCGGCGACTCAACATTCTTGGCAAAGTCGTATGATTTGACGTGCTTCTCCTTCGTGATGTAAAACAATTGGTTCTGATAAACGGCCGAGGCGGGTCTTTCTCTCTCCAGCTTGAAGACCATGACACCGGTGTCGTGACCAGCAGCAAAGAGGTTGATTTCGGGGTGAGCGGCGATGACCCAGAACCGATCCAAGTCACGTTTGAAAGACTGCACCGAGGTCCTCTTGTTCAAATCCCACACTCGAATTGTCTTGTCTTCGCCGACGGAGAGGATCAAATCCTGGTGGGGGTGAAATAGACAAGCGGAGGCGTTCTGGAAATGACCACGGCATGTATCGACTTCCCAGGCTTTCGTGTCTACACTGTTGTGTCAGGAGATCCAGCAAAATTGTTTGAGCACAGAACAACGGCATTTTTGGCACGTACCACTCATTCTCCACAGCTTGACAAGGCGATCGTCTCCCGCGGAGACAATCAGAGGTAGAGTTGGGTGGAAAGACACCCAGTTCACGCCTCGGTCGTGGCCCTCCAGGACAAATTTCACAACAGCGTCGGTGTTTCCAAACATATCAGCCTGGCTGGGGTTGGCTCGAGCCATCTGGTCTTCGAATGTCATGGATGTCGGAGCCGAATGCTTCTTCCGCAGCCCGGAAATATCCCAAATGCGAACAGACTGATCGAGCGACGCGGAAGCGATTAGGTCCTCAGTTGGATGAAACTGCGCACACATCACATAATGGTTGTGACCTGTCATTGTGCAGACTGGAACTCAAGTCAGCCTCACTTGTCGGGACAAGTGGCCAGAACCCAACTTACTCAACGATCTGTTCTGCCAATTCCATATTCTGATTGTTTGATCGTCGGAGGCAGAGAGAATCCAAGGAAGTTCGCGGTGGAAGAATACCGTTCGCACGTAGTCGAGATGCCCGTTCAAGGTGAAAAGACACCTCCGGGTTTGAAGACTCCATACCTTAATCTTGTAGTCGTCGCCTCCGGAGACGAAGAGGGGTTGTGTCGGGTGGAAATCAATGCCGCGAACAGGCCCATCGTGCTCTTCAAAGCGATCAATTAACGTTCCCATGCGATAATCCCATAATTGAATCGTCGACGAGTGGAGTGAAACAAGGATCCACGGTCTGTTCCAGGGTCATCAGCTTCTCGATTGCCAAGCGTTAAGCGGTCTATCCAGGACTGACCGTTTAGGATGAAAAGCAATTCCCTTTGCACGAGACGACTTCGACTCGAACTATTTGTAAAGCAATTGTTTAGTCGAGTGTCTTGGTTTGCGCGGGGATAAGGGGTAACAGGAGGGGGAGCAACGTACCTTGGTAAGCATGTTTGGGGAGGACTGCATCTTGAAGGAAAGCTGGTCGGAGCCGCACCATTCAGTAGCAAGCTCCGCACACTGATATAAATGAGATGGCAGACGTGATCACCTCATCCACTACCACAGGGTGAATGGGTAGGAGCAAAGCGAGAAACGTCTGGACTATGGGGACAGATAGTCTGGACACCTCGATGATGGCGGTAACGTGGACTTATTGAGGTCGGGTGTGTTTCCAGGCGGCGAGCCAATAAGCGAGTCCCGCGGTCCAATGATGGGCCCGGCGGTGAGAAGCTGCCAGGGACACTTTCTTTTGTGACCACTGTATTTCTCTATTTCAGTAGTGATTTCATGCTTCTAATTGATGATTAGAGATCTCTCTTAGAGGTCGTCGACAATGTCCGGAAATCAGGCTATTCATGATTGAGTACTCGAGAGGGGTTGTTTGGCCACGACACCGTCTGTTGAACGAAACAGTCAAACTCGACCTCTGAGAAAGGCACTACCAATGCATTGCAACAGATTATATACTTCTGACCTCGATCCTCGTACTAAGGAACAAG